CCCGGGTCGTACCACATGTCCCAACGGGACGAAGAAACTGCATTAATAGAGACCGAATGTGAAAAAAGAACCTGGATGTGTATGTTGACAAAGAACTGAAGTTCTTGGGGAACTGAGAGACAAAGGTGCATCAAACAAGTAAACTAGTAGGTCTTATAAGAAAGTCGTTCAGATATCGTCCCTCGTAACGATCTTCTAGAGTGAGGAATACTGTCACCCCGTCTGGTCCACAAGATATGCTAGAGACTGTCAGTTGATTGAAAATTTCCAAAGGAGGGCCACCCGTCTGGTGCCTGGACTATGGCACCTCAGTTATCCAGAGAGATAAGAGTGCCTGCAACTGCCTAATTGTACTACAGGCGGGTAAGGGGTGACCCAACTGAAGTGCATAAACATCTCAGAGGGCAGTATTCAGTCGAGTGTCCATAGCTGAAGCTGACGGATACTCGCCCCACAAGGGGTTACAGATCAAGTTTAAAGAAGCTACAAGTCCAGAAAACTGTGAGGGTAAACTTTTTTGGAGTGAGAATTGCAAACTCTTGGAACAATTTGTCAGAGAGTGTTGTGACGGCACCGGGTGTAAGCTCTTTCATGATCAGACTTGACCAAGACTGATGCAGGTTTAGATACACCCAGGAACCAGTGCATGCCAGGTACTTGCCAACAGTGCGTAAAAGAGACGTGATCGACCACCCAAACGGCTAACGAGCCGAGCAGTGGCGAAGAGGGTAAAAGTAAAATAAATATAAACACTTGTTTCTTCTAGGGAGGTAAGCATACCGCCAGCAAGGTAGGCCTACAACCACATATTTCCTCTACAATACCACCAATGAGGTAGGCCTACAGCCAATTGTTTCCTATACAATACTGTAACCAGTAAAATCTACATACTATACAATTTAGAGCAAGTAATTAATACCTTACAACCATGGATGTACAATTGTGAACATTCATTATTCATTATTGACCTGCAGAGTTTAGAGGTTGTTCGTAGACATAGCAGCCAGCTTTTAGTCATGCTGACTGGCCAACTGTTATGACTGCGAGATTTCTGCAGTATGATTTAACCCCCTCTGAGGAAGTAGGGAGTTCTTGTAAAACTAACGTGATTGCTCATATTTGGTAATTAGATACTTTGTTTCACACTTGCATTTCCAAAGTATTTGATGTAGTTATATAGTTAGCATATGTAGAGAGTGGCTCCGTCAGTTAAGAATGAATCATGGGTCAATGAGGTCATTTCCTACAGGTTATTTATAAAATGTAACCACAACACTGCTGAGGCACTACGTGGCGTTTCCTCCTCGGAAAACCTTCCAGAAGGTTTGACTCATGGATCACACCTGGCAGGGCCTGTTTGAATTACACCCCGGGCTTGGCCGCCCACGGGTGCTGATCTCAGTCTATTGCTGGACCCCAGAGAGTACACATCTACCACTGAGACCTCCTCAGCTCTAGAACATCTATCACTGAGACCACCTCAGTTCTAGAACATCTAACACTGAGATCACTTCAGTCCTAGATCACAGGGCCAGCCTTCTCTGTACAGGTGTATGTAATGTGTTCTACATAATACACTGTAAATTATACACACAACCGTCGTTCATATCTCATCCCACATTTATTAAAGAAGTGAACCACGGTAGACATCAACTAAGGGGACTATAAACAGCCATAAGAAATACTTTTAAGTGGGACGGTCCCCCGGCAAGTCCCACTCCTTATAGGTGGTGGCAGTCTACGTGGGATATTACACTGGGCTGCATTTGAAAAAAAAATTCATGAGGTGCGGGGTTTCTTAGCTGATTCTTTATGTATTTTGCGTGCTGATTCCAAAAATGCCATTCATTTTGCCCAATCAGGTCAGATTTTTATGCTATGGGAATTAGGAAAAAATCGAAATTCTTAAATATGATGTCAAAATTTTTATGCAAAATATATCATAAGAAATGTAACCACAACACATGGGACCAAAATATGTCAACTACATAGATGCCTTTACAGTTAGACATGCATAAATGGCTGTCGCAGAGAATTTCTTTGGTGGTTGGTGTCTGGGGCGTCCCGTTTCAGACACCAACAGTAGTCGGCGAGCATGTTGATATCCCAGCGACCCTGGTACCGCTCCTCCATTACACGGATATCTTGATGGAAGCGTTCTCCTTGTTCCTCACTCACATCACCACAGTTCTCTGGAAAGTAGTCCAAGTGGGAGCTGAGGAAGTGCATCTTGATGGACATGTGCACCAAGAACTTTGTAGCTCAGAAGTAGGTCCTCAACAACTCGTTCATACTCTGGACTTCTGTAGTTGCCAAGAAAATTGGAGACAATAGACTTAAAGGCATGCCAGGCTTTCTTCTCATTTACATCCATGCTGCAATCAAACTTGGGATCTTTGAAAAGCTCTCTGATCTGAGGGCCATAAAAAATTCCTGCATTCAGCTTTGCCTCACTGACTTTTGGAAATTTTTCTTTCAGAAAATTGAAAGCCTGGCTTTTTTTGTCCAGTGCCTTTACAAAGTTTTTGAACAGACCGAGCTTGATGTGCAGTGGCGGAAGAAGAATGTTCTGCGGATTCACCAGAGCAGGGGCAACAACATTCTGAGAACCTGGAGTAAGTCCACTTCTTGCAGGCCAGTCACATTGCACGTAGTGCTGATTGTCTGCTCGACTATCCCACAGACAGAGGAAACATGCCATGTACCACCAGATGAAAAAGAAATTTAATTGTGAGAAAATATATGTAAAAAAACACGGACATATACTCTTTTCCTTTGCGTCACGGCGGACATTTAAATGGCCGGCGAGCACGTGGGTGTATTTAAATGTATCGTAAGGGCACTAAAACTGACCGAAATCTTTTCTGTGAGGCTTGCCAATGTCTCGGATGATTTTTTTAATGAACGAATATGAGGACCCCATTTTGAGCGAAAAATGCCAATATTTTACCTGAATCTCCGCTTAAAATGCTATAGCACAAAATTCTGACCTGATTGAGCAAAATGGATAACATTTTTGAAATCAGCATGCAAATTACACCCAGAAAAGCTTAATAATACACAAACCGAATATGTCAACATGAATTTGAGTAATGGTATTTACAAACTGGATAATTTTGTGATTAAGAAGATTTGTAACCAGGTGAGAAGGTTGGGTCATCTTACCCTACGACCTGACTACCGACAGCTGTTGTGCTTAGAGATGGCATGGTGAATTTTTTTTTTATATTAGAGTATAGTAGTCACTCATGACCGGAAAATTGTGGACACCTGCTGTCCCCTAGGGACTTGATATCACTCTCCTCTACTGTATATATTAGCCTTGTCAAGTATTTATCCTTAGTTTGTACTCACCCCTGAAGATGTGAATTACACGAAAACGCTTGGGAACTTCGTGTTTTCCTGTTGCCTTGTGGTTATCAGCATATATATATATATATATATATATATATATATATATATATATATATATATATATATATATATATATATATATATATATATATATATATATATATATATATATATATATATATATATATATGTGTGTGTGTGTATGTTAGAACACTAATCGCTTCTTTGCTCCTCTTCTCTCTTCCCCCAATTCCCCCGTTCTCCTCATTCCTCTTCGCCCCCTTCATTGCCTCCTCCTTCTTCTCCTCCCTCTTCTCAGCTTTCTATTCCCACTTTACCTCTCGTCCTCCTTCTGCATCTCTCTTCATTCCTCATTCTCCCTCTTCCCTCCTCCTACTACCTCTTTTCCCTCCTCAAACCTCCGCCCCCTCCTCATACCTCTTTCCCCTATTCCTCCTCTTATATTCTCTTCCCGCTATTCCCCTCCCTTCCCACTTCACTTATGTCACCCTTCTCCCTATTATTCTCCAGCTCCCCCTCCCCTTCCTCCTCGCCTTCCATCCTCTTCCATCCCCTCCACACAGCCCAGCCTAAAATTACAGCAACACATACGGTATATACCTTTCCCCGGGGTGGTGATGCAGGGGTCAAGGACTGACACTGTTAGCACCGGGTGGAGAGGGGTGAGAGGGGTGAAAAATGTGGGGGAGAGAGGGACGAGGGGAGCAAGAGGGATGAGAGGGGTGAAGGTGGTAAACAGGGGTAAAGATAGGTGAGAGTGGAGAGAGAGGTGAGGGTGTGAGAAGGGAGACAGTGGTGAGAGGGGAGAGATGGGTAAGGGGGTAAGATGAAAGAGAGGGATGAGGGGTGAGAAGAGAGAGTGAAAGAAAGGGTCAGAAATTGTGAGTGAGTGGAAGGGGTGCAGAAAGGAGAAGGGGGGGGGTAGAGGCGAGGAGAGGGGAAAGAGGGTCAGAGAGGTAAAAGGGTAGGGGAGGGAGAGGAAAGAAGAGAAGGGGAAAGGAGGAAATAGGAAGGACGGGGTAAGATTAGCGGAGGCTCAGGGAAATTAGGTGGGAGGAAAAGGGGAAAGTGAGGTGTAAGGAGAGTGAGTGGGATGGATGTAGGAGGGGGGGGGAAGAAGACAAGAAAATATGCCTGAAGGGTGGAGAGGAAGAAGGGAAGGAGGGAAGGAAGAAGAGAGGGACGAATGCCTAAAGGGAAGGAGGGAGGGAGGGAAGGAGGGAGGGGTAAAATGGTTTAGGGAATATGAAGTTTTAATGTGCACAATAAATACAGGTAAAAATGTGACGGTGGCATAAAAAGCTCGGAATACTGTACGGAGTTACGACACAGTTTAAGTTTTGCTGACAATAATCTGGTTATCTAGTGCATTTTAATGTATCCTTATTAATGAATAACACACAGGAGAAACATGTTATCAATAAACAATGTGTCTCCCTCCAGAACAAGGTGTCCCCCAGAACAAGGCGTCTTCCTACAGAACAAGGTGTCTCCCTCCAGAACAAGGTCTCCCCCCTCCAGAACAAGGTGTCTCCCTACAGAACAAGGTGTCTCCCTCCAGAACAAGGTGTCTCCCTCCAGAACAAGGTGTCTCCCTCCAAAGAAAGGTGTTGCCCTCCAGAACAATGTGTCTCCCTCCAGAACAAGGTGTCTCCCTGCGGACCACGGTGTCCCCTCCAGAACAAGGTGTTTCCCTCCAGAACAAGGTGTGTCCCTGCAGAGCAAGGTGTCTCCCTCCAGAACAAGGTGTCTCCCTCCAGAACAAGGTGTCCCCCTCCAGAACAAGGCGTCTCCCTCCAGAAGAAGGTATCTCCCTCCAGAACAGACGTCTCCCTCCAGAACAAGGCATCTCCCCTCCAGAACAAAACGTCTCCCTCCCAAGACAAAGGCGCCTCCCTCCCCAGGCTGAGCGTCTCCCTCCAGAACAGGCGTCTCCTCCAGGGGCTGAGGCGTCTCCCTCCAGAACAAAGTGTCTCCTTCCAGAACAAGGCGTCTCCCTCCAGAACAAGGTGTCTCCTCCAGAACAGGCGTCTCCTCAGAGACAGGCGTCTCCTCCAGAGCAAGGTGTCCTCCTTCCAGAGCTCAGGCATCTCCCTCCCAGAACAAACGTCTCCCTCCCAGAACAAGTTGTCTCCCTCCAGAACAAAGCGTCTCCCTCCCAGAACAAACTCCTCCAGAACAAAGGTGTCTCCCCTCCAGAACAAGGTGTCTCCCTCCCAGAACAAGGTGTCCCCTCCAGAACAAGGTGTCTCCTTCCAGAACAAGGCCGTCTCCTCCCAGAACAAGGCGTCTCCCCTCCAGGGTGCAAGGCGTCTCCTCAGGAACAAGTGTCTCCTTCAGAACAAGGCGTCTCCCCTCCAGAACAAGGCGTCTCCCCTCAGAGACAAAGTGCTTCCCTCCAGAACAAAGCGTCTCCCTCCAGAACAAGGCGTCTCCCTCCAGAACAGGTGTCTCCTCTCCAGAACAAGGCGTCTCCCTCCAGAACAAGGCGTCTCCTCCAGGGCACTGAGCGTCTCCCTCAGAACAAAGCGTCTCCTCCAGAACAAAGGCGTCTCTCCCCTCCAGAACAAAGTGTCTCCTTCCCAGAACAGAGCGTCTCCCTCCAGGGAACAAAAGTGTCTCCTCCAGAACAAGTGTCTCGCTTCAGAAAAAAGGCGTCTCAATCCAGAACAGAGTGTCTCCCTCCAGAACAAGATGTCCCCTCCAGAACAAAATTGTCTCCTCCAGAACAAGCGTCTCCTCCCAGAACAAAGGCGTCTCCCTCCGTTCAAGGTGTCTCCTTCCAGAACAAAGGCGTCTCCCTCCAGAACAAGAGGCGTCTCCTCTGGAAACAAGGCGTCTCTTTCCAGGGCTCAAGGTGTCTCTTTTCCCAAGAACAAGGTGTCTCCTCGAATAAGGTGTCCTCCTCCAGAACAAGGGTAATGTCCCTCCAGAACAAAGGTGTCTCCCCTCCCAGAACAAAGGTGTCTCCCTCCAGAACAAGGTGTCTCCTCCCAGAACAAGTGTCTCCCCTCCCAGAACAAGAGTGTTTCCCCTCCCAGAACAAGGCATCCCCCTCCAGGAACAAGCGTCTCCCTCCAGGGCACAAGGCCCACGTCTCAATCCAGAACAGGCGTCTCCCTCCCAGGGCTCAAGGTGTCTCCTTCCAGAACAAGGCACATCTCCCCTCCAGAACAAGGGCATCTCCCTCCAGAACAAGTTGTCTCCTCCAGAACAAGGCATCTCCCTCCAGAACAAGGCGTCTCCTCAGGGCTAAGGTGTCTCCCTCCAGAACAAGGTGTCTCCCCTCCCAGAACAAAGGTATACCCTCCAGAACTCAAGGTGTCTCCTTCCAGAACAAAGGCGTCTCCCTCAGAACAAGGCGTCTCCTCAGAACAGGCGTCTCCTCCAGAACAAGGTGTCTCCTTCCAGAACAAGGCACGTCTCCCTCCAGAACAAGGCGTCTCCTCCAGAACAAAGTGCTTCCCTCCAGAACAAGCGTCTCCTCCAGAACAAGGCGTCTCCCTCCCAGAACAAAGTGTCTCCTCAGAACAAGCGTCTCCCTCCAGAACAGGCATCTCCCTCCAGAACAAAGGCGTCTCCCTCCAGAACAAAGGCGTCTCCCTCCAGAACAAGACGTCTCCCTCCAGAACAAAATTCATCTCCTTCCAGAACAAGCGTCTCCCTCCAGAACAGTGTCTCCCTCCAGAATGAGTGTCTCCTTCCAGAAAAAGAGCCGTCCTCAATCCAGAACAAGTGTCTCCTCCAGAACAAGATATCCCTCCAGAATGGTGTCTCCTCCAGAACAAAGGCGTCTCCTCCAGAACAAGGCGTCTCCTCCAGAACAAAGGTGTCTCATGCCAGAACAAGGCGTCTCCCTCCAGAACAAGGCGTCTCCCTCCATTCAGGCGTCTCTTTTCCAGAGCAAGGTGTCTCTTTCCAGAAACAAAGGAGTGCTCCTCCCCTCCAAACCATGGGTGTCTCCTCCAGAACAAGGTGTCTCCCTCCAGAACAAGGTGTCTCCCTCCAGAACAAGGTGTCTCCTCCAGAACAAGGTGTCTCCCTCCCAGAACAAGGTGTCTCCTCCAGGAGCAAAGTGTTTCCCTCCAGAACAAAGGCGTCTCCCTCCAGGGCAAGGCGTCTCCCTCAGAACAAGGCGTCTCAATCTGAACAAGGCGTCTCCCTCCAGAACAAGGCGTCTCAATCCCAGAACAAGGTGTCTCCCTCCCAGAACAAAATTGTCCCCCTTCAGAACAAGGTGTGCCTCCAGAACAAAGGCGTCTCCTCCAGAACAGGCGTCTCCCCTCCAGAACAAGGCGTCTCCTCCAGGGAACTCAGTGCCCAGAACAAAGGCGTCTCCCCTCAGAACAAAACGCGTCTCCCTCCAGAACAAGCGTCTCCCTCCAGAACAAAGGCGTCTCTCTCCAGAACAAGGTGTCTCTTTCCCAGGGTTAAGGTGTCTCCCCTCCCAGAATAGTGTCTCCCCTCCAGAACAAAGTGTCTCCCTCCAGAACAAGGTGTCTCCCTCCAGAACAAAGGTGTCTCCCTCTAGAACAGAGTGTGTCTCCCCTCCAGAACAAGATGTCTCCTCCAGAACAAGGTGTCTCCCTCCCAGAACAAGGTGTCTCCTCCCAGAACAAGGTGTCTCCCTCCAAGAACAAGGTGTCTCCCTCCAGAACCAAGGTGTCTCCCTGCAGAACAAGGTGTCTCCTCCAGAACAGTGTCTCCCCTCCCAGAACAAGGTGTCTCCTCCAGAACAAAGGTGTCTCCCTCCAGAAAAAAAGGTGCTCCCCTCCCAGAACAAGTGTTTCCCTCCCAGAACAAGGTCAAGCCCTCCAGAACAAGTGTCTCCTTCAGAACAAAGCGTCTCCTCCAGAACAAGGCGTCTCCCCTCCCAGAACAAGGCGTCTCCCTCCAGAACAAAGGTGTCTCTCCTTCCAGAACAAGGCGTCTCCCTCCAGGGCAAGGCGTCTCCCTCCCAGAACAAATGCTTCCCCTCAGAACAAAGGCGTCTCCTCTAGGTCAAGGCATCTCCCTCCGTTTCAGCGTCTCCCTCCAGACCAGGCGTCTCCCTCCCAGGGGCGCAGGCGTCTCCCTCCCAGAGCAAGGCGTCTCCTCCAGGGGCCAAGGTGTCTCCTCCCAGAACAAGTGTCTCCCTCCAGAACAAAGGCGTCTCCCTCCAGAACAAGGTGTCTCCCTCAGAACAAGGTGTCTCTCCCTCAGGAACAGGGTGTCCCTCCAGAACCAAGGCGTCTCCTCCAGGTGGTGTCCTCCAGAACAGATGTCACCACTCCCAGAATAAAGGTGTCTCCCTCCCAGAACAAGGTGTCTCCTCCAGAACAGGTGCCCCCTCCAGAACAAGGTGTCTCCGTCCAGGAACAATTGCCTCCCTCCAGGAAACAGTGTCTCCTTCCCAGAACAAGGTGTCTCCGTCCCAGAACAAGGTACCCCTCCCTCCAGAACAAGGTGTCTCTCCTCCAGAACAGGGTGTCCCCTCCAGAACAAGTGTCTCCCTCCAGAACAGGGTGTACCCCTCAGAACAAGGGCGTCTCCCTCCAGAACAAGTGTCTCCCTCCAGAACAAGGTGTCTCACTCAAGATAAGTGTCTCCCCTCCAGAATAACCAAGGTGTCTCCCTCCAAAAGAAGGTGTTGCCTCCAGAACAAGGTGTTCACTCCAGAACAAGGTGTCCCCTCCAGAGACAAGGTGTCTCCACTCCCAAAAGAAATGTGTTGCCCTCCAGGAAAAGGTGTCTCCCTCCCAGGAACAAAAGGTGTGTCCTCAAGAGAGTGTCACCTCCAGAACAAGGTGTTTCCCTCAGGGCAAGGTGTCTCCCTCCAGAACAGGTGTCTCGCTCCCAGAACAAGGTGTCTCCCTCCAGAACAAATTGTCTCCCTCCAGAACAAGGTGTCTCCTCCAGAACAAGGTGTCTCCCTCCAGAACAACGTGTCCCCCCTCCCAGAACAAAGTGTCTCCTCAGGCTTCGCGTCCCCCTCTCCTAGAACAAGGTGTCTCCCCTCCAGAACAAGTGCTCCCCTCCAGAACAAGTGTCTCCCCCAGAACAGTGTCTCCCCTCCAGAACAGGTGACCCCCCAAGAACAAGGTGTCCCCTCCCAGGACAAGGAGTCTCCTCCAGAACAAAGGTCCCTCAAAGAAAAGTGTCTCCCTCCAGACAGGAGTGGCTCCCTCCAGAACAAGGTGTCTCCTCCAGAACAAGGTGTCTCCTCCCAGAACAGGGTCTACCCTCAGAACAAGGTGTCTCCTCCCAGGGAGCAAAGTGTCTCCCTCTAGAGACAAAGGTGTCCCCCCTCCCAGAACAAGGTGTCCCCCTCCAGAACAAGGTCTCCCTCCGGAACAAGGTGTCTCCCTCCAGGACAAGGTGTCTCCCTCAGAGCAAGTGTCCCTCCAGAACAAGGTGTCCCCTCCAGAGCAAGAGTGTCCCCCCTCCAGAACAAGGTGTCCCCCCTCCCAGAACAAGGTGTCTCCTTCCCAGAACAAGGCGTCTCCCTCCAGAACAGGCGTCTCCCTCCGGGGCTCAGTGTCTCCTCCAGAACAGGCATCCCTCCAGAACTCAGGCGTCTTCCAGAACAGGCGTCTCCTCCAGGGCAAGAGCGTCTCCCTCCAGAACAAAGGCGTCTCCCTCAGAACAAGGTGTCTCCTTGGAACAAGAGCGTCTCCCTCCAGAACAAGGCATCTCCCTCCAGAACAAGGTGTCTCCCTCCAGAAACAAGGCGTCTCCCCTCCAGAACAAAGCGTCTCCCTCCAGAACAAGACGTCTCCCCTCCAGAACAAGGCGTCTCCCCTCCAGAACAGGCGTCTCCCTCCAGAACAAGGCGTCTCCCTCCAAGACAAAGGCATCTCCCTCCAGAACAGGCGTCTCCCTCCAGAACAAAGGCGTCTCCCTCCAGAACAAGTGTCCCCCTCCAGAACAAAATTGTCCCCCTCCAGAACAAAGTGTCTCGGCAGAACAGGAAGCGTCTCCCTCCAGAACAAAGGCGTCTCCCTCCAGAACAAAGGCGTCTCCCTCAGAACAAAATTGTCTCCTTCCAGTGACGTCTCCCTCTCCAGAACAAAGGCGTCTCCCCTCCAAGTAAAATGCTTCCCTCCCAGAACAAAGCTGTCTCCTCCAGAACAAGAGCGTCTCCCCTCCCACAGAACACAAGCATCTCCCCTCAGAACAAGGCGTCTCCCCTCCAAAGATAAAACATCTCCCTCAAACAAGGCATCTCCCTCCAGGGCTCAAGCATCTCCCTCCAGAACAAACGTCTCCCTCCCATTCAAGCATCTCCCTCAGAACAAACGTCTCCCCTCCAGAACAAGCATCTCCCTCCAGGAACAAAACGTCTCCTTCGAACAAGGCGTCTCCTTCAAGTCAGGCGTCTCCTCCAGAACAAAATTGTCTCTGCTTCAGAAAAAGGCATCTCAATCCCAGAACAAGGTGTCTCCCTCCAGAACAAGATGTCCCTCCCAGAACAGGTGGTCTCCTCAAGACAGGCGTCTTTGCCTCCAAGTGCATCTCCCCTCAGGGCTCAAAGGCTGTCAGCCAAGACAAGGCGTCTCCCTCTGAGACAGGCGTCTCCACCTCCCAGAACAAGTGCCTCTTTTTCCCATTCAAGTGTCTCCCTCCAGAATAAGGTGTCCTCCTCTAGAGCAAGGTGTCTCCCTCCCAGAACAAGAGTCTCCTCCCAGAACAAAGTGTCCCCATCCAGAACAGAGTGTCTCCCTCCCAGAGTGGTCATCTCCCTCCACAGAACAAGGTGTTTCCTCAGAACAAGGCGTCTCCTCCAGAACAAAGGCGTCTCCCTCCAGAACAAGGCGTCTCAATCCAGGAACAAGGCGTCTCCCTCAGAACAAGGCGTCTCAGTCCCAGAACAAGGTGTCTCCTCCAGAACAAGGTTGTCCCCCTCCAGAACAAGGTGCTCCTCCAGAACAGAGCGTCTCCTCCAGAACAAAGGCGTCTCCTCCAGAACAGTGTCTCCTTCTGAACAGGCGTCTCCTCCAGAACAAGGCGTCTCCCTCCAGGAGTTCAAGGTGTCTCCCCTCTCCAGAACAAGGTGTCTCTTTTTCCAGAACAAGGTGTCTCTTTCCAGAACAAAGGTGTCTCCTCCAGAACAGGTGCTCTCCCTCCAGAACAAAGGTGTCTCCTCCAGAACCAGTGTCTCCACTCCAGAACAAGAGTCTCCCTCCAGAACAAAAGGTAACCTCCCTCCAGAACAGTGTCTCCTCCAGAACAAGGTGTCTCTCTGAGAACAAGGTGTCCTCCAGACAGTGTCTCCCTCTAGAACAAGTGTCTCCACTCCCAGAACAAAGGAATTTCCCCCTCAGAACAAGGTGTCTCCCTGCTGCAGAACAAGTGTCTCCCTCCCAGAACAAGAGGTCTCCTCCAGAACAAGAGTGTCTCCCTCCAGGAACAAGAGTGTCTCCTCCAGAACAAGGTGTGTCCCCTCCAGAACAAAGTGTTTCCCTCCCAGAACAAAGGTGTCTCCCCTCCCAGAATGAAGTGTCTCCTCCAGAACAAGGAGTCTCCCTCCAGAACAAGTGTCTCCCTCCAGAACAAAGTCTCCCTCAGGGTCAAGGTGTCTCCCTCCAGAACAAAGTGTCTCCCTCCAGAACAAGGTGTCTCCCCTCCAGGGCTTGGTGTCTCCCTCCAGAGCAGGTGTCTCCTCCAGAACAAGGTGTCCCTCCAGAACAAAGTACACCTCCCTCCAGGGCAGGTGTCTCCCTCCAGAACAAGGTGGTTCCTCCCAGAACAAGGCGTCTCCCTCCCAGAACAAGGTGTCTCCTCCAGAACAAGGTGTCTCCCCTCCAAGAACAGGTGTCCCCTCAGAACAAGGCGTCTCCCTCCCAGAACAAGGTGTCTCCTCCAGAACAAGGTGTCTCACTCCCAGGAATAAGGTGTCTCCTCCCAGAACTAGTGTCTCCCTCCAGAACAAGTGTCCCCCTCCAGAACAAGGCGTCTCCCTCCAGAACAAGGTGTCTTTCCCTCCAGAACAAAGGTGTCTCCGTCCAGAACAAAGTACCTCCCTCCAGAAACAAGGTGTCTCCTTCCAGAACAAAGGTGTCTCCGTCCAGAACAGTACCTCCTCCAGAACAAGGTGTCTCTCTCAGAACAGGGTGTCCCCTCAGAACAAATTGTCTCCCTCCCAGGAACAAAGGTGTCCCCCTCTTCCCACAGGGAACTCATCACCTCCCACCCCTCCAGGAACAAAAGGGTGTCTCCCTCCAGAACCAAAGTGTCTCCTCTGGAATAAGGTGTCTCCTCAGAACAGGTGTCTCCTCCAAAGAAAGTGTTGCACTCCAGAACAAGAGTCTCCCCTCAGAACAAAGTGTCTCCCTCCAGAACAAAAGTCTCCTCAGAACAAGGTGTCTCCCTCCAGAACAAGGTGTCTCACTCCAGAATAAGGTGTCTCCCTCAGAACAAGGTGTCTCACTCCAAAAGGTGTTGCACTCCAGAACAGGTGTTTCCCTCCAGAACAAGGTGTCCCCTCCAGAACAAAGTGTCTCCCTCCAAAAATGTGTTGCCCTCCCAGGACAGTGTCTCCCTCCAGAACAGGTGTGTCCCTCCAAGAAAGGTGTGTCCCCTCCAGAACCAAAGTGTCTCCCTCCAGAACAAGTGTCTCCCTCCACAACAAGTGTCTCCCCTCCAGAACAAGTGTCTCCCTCCCAGAACAGGTGTCTCCCTCCAGAACAAGAGCTGTCTCCTCCAGAACAAGGTGTCCCCCCTCCAGATCCAAGGTGTCTCCCTCCAGGGGCATGGCGTCCCCTCTAGAACAAGGTGTCTCCCTCCCAGAACAAGTGTCCCCTCCAGAACAAATTGTCTCCCCCAGAACAAAGTGTCTCCCCTCCAGAACAAAATTATGCTCCCTCCCGGAACAGATGTCCCCCTCCAGAACAAGGAGTCTCCTCCAGAACAAGAGTCTCCCTCCAAAGAAAAGGTGTCTCCCTCCCAGAACAAGGTGGCTCCCCTCAGAACAAGGGTGTCTCCCCTCCAGAACAGGCGTCTCCCTCCCAGAACAAGGTCTACCTCCAGAACAAGGGTGTCTCCTCCAGAGACAAGGTGTACTCCCTCCTAGAAACCAAGGTGTCCCCCTCCAGAACAAGGTGTCCCCCTCCAGAACAAAGTGTCCCTCCGGAACAAGGTGTCCCCTCCCAGGACAAAGTGTCTCCTCCAGAACAAGTGTGTCCTCCAAGTGTCCCCCTCCAGAACAAGGTGTGTCTCCCTCCAGAAAAAGGTGTCTCCTCCAGAACAAAGTGTCTCCCTCAAACAAGGTGTCTCCCCTCCAGAGTGAGTGCTCCTCCCGGGTCTGGATGTCTCCCTCCAGAATTAAGGTGTCTCCTCCAAAGCTCAGAGCGTCTCCCCTCCAGAACAAGAGTGTGTCCCTCCAAAAAGGTGTCCCCCTCCAGAAACAAGTGTCTCCCCTCCAGAACAAGGTGTCCCCTCCAGAACAAGGTGTCTCCCTCCAGAACAAGGTGTCTCCCTCCAAAACAAGGCGTCTCCCCTCCCAGAACAAGTGTCTCCCTCCAGAACAAGGTGTCTCCTCCAGGAACAGGTGTCTCCTCCAGAACAAGGTGTCTCCCTCCAGGTGAGGTGTCTCCCTCCAGAACAGGTGTCTCCCTCAGGGGCTGGTGTCTCCTCCAGAACAAGGTGTCTCCTCCAGAACAAA